ACCCAAACAAACAAATGAAAAACCCACACAAAAAAATGCTCAACAAAATAGATTTTTTTAAAAGATTTTATTTATTTATTTGACAGAGAGAGATCACAAGTAGATAGAGAGGCAGGCAGAGGGAGGGGGGAAGCAGGCTCCCCGCTGAGCAGAGAGCCTGATGCAGAACTTGATCCCAGGACCCTGAGATCATGACCTGAGCCAAAGGCAGAGGCTTAACCCACTGAGCCACCCAGGTGCCCCAACGAAATAGGTTTAGAAGGAACATACCTCAATATAATGAAGGCCATATATGAAAAACCCACAGCTAATATCCTATTCAGTAGTGAAAAACAGAGCTTTTCCCCTAAACTCAGGAACAAGACAAAGATATCCACTCTCACTACTTCCATTCAACATAGTACTGGAAGTCCTAGCCACAGCAATCAGACAAGAAAAAAGAAGTAAGGGGCATCCAAATCGGTAAGGAAGAAGGAAAACATTCACTACTTGCAGATAACATGACATTATATATATAAAACCCAACAGATTCCATCAAAAAGCTACTAGAACTGATAAATGAATTTGGTAAGGTCCCAGGGTACAAAAGGAATACACAGAAAGTCACGGTATTTCTATACACTGATAATGAAGTAGCAGAAACGGAAGTTAAGAAAATAATCCCACTTAAAATTGCACACAAAAGAGTAAGATATCTAGGAACAAACTTAACCAGGAGGTGAAAGACCCATACTCCGAAAACCATAAAACACGGATGAAAGACATTGAAGACGATACAAACAAAAGGAAACACATCCCATGCTCATGGATTGGAAGAACAAATTTTGTTAAAATGTCCACACTACCCAAAGCAATATGCAGATTTAATCCAATCCCTGTCAAAATACCAAAAGCGTTTTTCACAGAACTGGAACACACCATCCTAAAATTTGCATGGAACCAATAGCCAAAAGCAACCTTGAAAAGGAAAAACAAAACTAGAGGCAAGACAATCTCAGATATCAAGTCATACTACAAAGCTATAGTAATCAAAACACTATGGTGCTGTCACAGAAACAGTCACATAGATCAATGGAACAGAATAGAAAGCCTAGAATTAAACCCATTTGTATATGGTCAATTAATCTTAGACAAAGGAGGCAAGAGTATACAACAGGGAAAAGACAGTCTCTTCAAAAAATGGTGCTGGGGGGGCGCCTGGGTGGCTCAGTGGGTTAAGCCGCTGCCTTCAGCTCAGGTCATGATCTCAGGGTCCTGGGATCGAGTACCGCATCAGGCTCTCAGCTCAGCAGGAAGCCTGCTTCCCTTCCTCTCTCTCTGCCTGCCTCTCTGCCTACTTGTGATCTCTGTCTGTCAAATAAATAAATAAATAAATCTTTAAAAAAAATGGTGCTGGGAAAACTGGACAGCTCCATGCAGAACGAAACTGGAGCATTTTCTCGACCACACACAAAAATAAAGTTAAATTGGATTAGGGACCTAAAAGTGAGACCTGAAACCATAAAAGTCCTAGAAGTGAACACAGGCAGTAAGGTCACTGACATTGGCCATAACAACTTCGCTGACAGGTACTCATAATCATGAATGGTTTTGTTGTGTTATGACGGTCACTTAAGTGTACTTTATAGAATTCCTAGTTGGCATGGCTCCTCCCACGAATGCAAAATTGAGATAATGAGTGAGTCCTCTTTCTTTCCCTGGAAACTTGTCTTGAATTAAAACTCATAGGCCCAGACAATCCTCCTTTCATATGTGTGTTTATTAGTTGCTTTAATTGAACACCCAGAAAATCTCACTTAAAGGGTGTTGCCTCTTCAACTCTGGTGAGGGAGAAGCCTCTGGGTCCTCCCAGCAGACATAGTGTGCGTGTGGGCGGGTAGGACACTAGGGATGGGTCTAGCCCAGCACTATTATGTACCAGACCTTTGAAGTCATTCTGCAATCTGTCAAGAATTTTGTACTGTCTGAACTTCCTTGCATCACCCAGCCTGACCTGACAGTGTGTCATCGGACAGAGCCAAGTGTGGGAATCACACCGAGTTGGGCAAATGCAGAATCTCTGTAAGCCCACGCACATCAGTAGATAGAGGCTGATGGAAAATAACCTTCCTCTTCCATGGATTGATGTCCTCCAAAATCCATTTCCATGAGCAATCTCTAGACTATTCCTGATGTAAATATGCAAATTCTGAAATCTTGTCTGCATGTAAAATTTCTCTTCCAGAACCTGATTCTACACCTTCTGCCCTGGACCGCTGGGATCCCATTCTGATTCCCAGCTGCCGATGGGATGGGGAGCGCATCTGAGGGCAATTGCTATTATTTTTCTTCCTTGCACGGAGCCTTCCTCTGACAAGGCAGTAACAGCACCTCTAAGCCAAGGAGTGGCTTCTTGAGCATCTCCAACAGGCTGGATGCCAGGAGCATGACATATTTTCTTGGAAACCCACCTAACGATGGAATTTCACCTAAGTGGAAATAGAAGATAGAATTCCTAAGAACTTTCTTTTCCAGGCAACAGCCCAACGGTCTAAATAAGATATCTACAATGACATAAAACAGTTTTTGGTACAAATGAATATTCTATTATGTAAGAGCCTTCGATAACAGAGGACTGACCAAGAGCAGAAAGCATCTGAAACCTGGCTAGTGGTTCCTAAATGCTCCAGGCTACTCTAAAACATCAGGACAGAGACACTCCTGATTTCCCACGCTTGGGGAGGCCCACTTTGTAGGGTCTACTGAGTAAGTTGACTACTGAAAGTCTTTGCTAGCACTCCCATCAGTGACTTCACGGCCAACACAGTGAATCTCTGTATTTCTACCATTTGGTAAATGTTTGTTTGACTGAATGTCCTTGTCTCTGTGTTTTAGTATTGAGCAGAAAACACAACCACGATTTGGTCTGCTCTAGGGAGGCAAAGTCTGGAGCACGTTAGAAGGTTCTGGGCATACACGCGGCTTGCAAATGCTCGTGATATCCCATTTGAATGAGCCAAGCCCCAGTTGCTCTAAACCAATGTCTTGCTTCAATTCATGAAATCACACGGAGCTTTCCTTTTCATGCAGGTGGGCCCCAAGAGGTGAGAGATTCTTTGTCATAGCCATAGAAAGTCTCGGAGTTGTCGTCGCCTTGAAGCCATAAATTAAGGCTCTGAACTTGACACTCTTCTTCAGTTTTCCACAGGCATCACAAACAGTGCCTGGGCCCTACTATTCTGGAATTCCTAGGACTTCCCATGTTGCTCTGTAGAAAAGGCAACCTTGTTCTGCACAGTCCTGGCCTTTGAAGTGCCTGCTTCCACTGGCTGCAGTAAGAACTTAGTCATTTTGTCGCCAGATCCCAAGAGCTTCTAGGATCTCAGCCACTAGCATATTAATGAGAAAGTCACTGTCACCGGCTTCATCACCACCAAACACCCCGTATTTTCCCGAGCTCTGGTGGTTTGCAACATGCTCTCCACTCTTAATCTCTTAATTTCTACCCCAGCTGTGTTTTTTTTTTTTTCCCAAGCAAAGATACCAACTCCTGCCAACTCAAGCAAGTCCATGGTATAATCTCGAAGCAACGACCAGAACGGTGCCATTTAGACATTAGTCTGGCCGTGTCGCTTCTCTGCCAAAGACTTCACTGGGACTCCTGCCCACAAAGATGTCCTTTTGAGATGAAAACATCTGATTTTTCCAGCATCTCCGTTCGGTCTGCCCCAGGAGAACAACCGATGCTCGATTCAGAAGTGAAAACGTCCAGTTCCGTTCAGGTCACCGTGACCAGTTACCGCAAAGGGGTGTGCACTCCCACCTGCAACACGTCCCATGATCAGCATTCAAGATCTGCTCTCATAGCAACTTTCCAGTGAACAGGACAGTATTCTCTGTAATCACCATGCTGTGCACTGAGACCCAGAACTTACTCACCTTCTGTCTGGAAGTTTGTCCTTCTAGACCAACCTCTCCCAACTCCCCCCACCTCAAAACTCTGGTAACCACCACTCTATTCTTTGTTTCTGAGTTGTTGTTGTTGTTGTTTAAGATTTTATTTATTTGAGATAGAGCAAGAGGGAGTGAGCGAGAGAGCACAGACGGCTAGGCAGGGGGAGAGTAGAATTAGGCTCCCGGCCAAGTGGGGAGCCCAATGTGGGACTCGACCTCAGGACCCCGGGATCATGACCTGAGCCAAAGGCAGACGCTTAACCCACTGAGCCACCCAGGTGCCCCATTTATTGTTTTTATTTTTTTTGTGTGTACACATTTAGATTTATTGTAACAAAGCAACTTGCACAATTTTAATGTTCAAAACTGAGCATCATCTTTCCTTTCCAGTGAAACAAAAAGAAAATTTAAAAATAAACAGGAACAAAATTACAATAGAGAATGTCAATTCCAAATAAGATCCTACAAGTTCTGCTGATTCTCCCGTCGAGTGGCAGGGCTCAAGTCATCATTAGGAGAGAGTTTTATTTTAAAAGTGTCATCTTAAACTGCAAGGATGTCCGTTAAACATCACAACTAAACATGCCCAAGGAGAAGCCATGTTGTCAAAATGCCCACCTAACCCACCCAAACATCTCAAACCCACCCTTTGCTGACCTTCTATGACCCAATTTTTTAAATTTTTTTTTTTTTAAACAAGAGAAAGTAGACAGGTACATGTTGGTAAATGCTAACTGTCCATATTCACGTAGAGACACAGTGTAATCTCTGAGCCCAATATACAGAGAAAGGAGGAAAAAAAGCTAGAATTCTATGCACTACTACACAGGGGCCTAGCACCCTCCAGCTTCCAGCAGAGCTAAGGGAGCAGAAGGTTTTTCTTTTTTCCCCACAGAGCACGGTGGTGTTGATTCCATAAAGTTTTTGTTTTTGTTGAGACAGGAAAGGACAAAAATGAATTTGGAACAAAAAGGGGTAGAGATTCTTTTCCCACTGTATTCTGCTCAAGGTATTTTCCCCCCAAATAAGCTGAGAACCATGGTATAAAGGGAGAGAAAAAGGAGACTTCAAAAAACAGGGCGAATGAGCACGAGAGGAGAAAAGAAAAAGAAAAAGGGGGAAAAAAAAAGACAGCAACTTGCTCCCAGGGACTGAAGAAAATTAAAAAAGGAAGGTTGGAATCCATCAGTGTTCCATTCGTCATCTTCTCCTTCATCCTCCTCTCCTTCCTCCCCCTCATCATCAGCTTCACCTTCTTCACCTTCATCCTCATCTCCTTCTTCATCAATATCTTCCAATCCTTCTTCTTCATCATCAGCAGCAGCAGCATCCTCTTCTCCTTCCCCTTCTTCATCATCCATATCGGGAACCAAGTAGTACTGTAATGGATTTGGCCAAATATCATCTTTGATGACCTCTCCTAACTCATCTGTGCCTGCATCAGAATGGTCAGTAAACCAGGTGAAGAAGCTCTCTGGTTCCTCATGCTGTCTCTTCCTGCTGGCTTTATTCTGTGTTTGACTTGAACGTTTTGTCAAATCCTTTCCAGATTTCCATTTGATTTCAGTGGACTTTGAAGATGGATCACCACTCTCATTCAGATGAAATTCTTTGGAGAGAATTTTATTTTCGAAGTAAGGGTTTTCATCAAAATAAAAATCTATTCTGTAACCTGATTTAATATCTTCAAATTCTGTCACTTCAACTCTTGTCAAATAATGCAGTGCCCCTTCATCCTCCTCCCCAAGCAGTGCAGACACTTGTGGATGGTTGACAAATGTTGTTACCCAAAAATTGGGGATTTTGGCGATCAATTCCGACCTCTTCTGAAAAAATGGTTGGCGGAGTTTGTTATATTTCTGTTCTACTTTCAAAATCTCCTGACTGGCTTGTTCATTAAATCTGTCTATTTCATTTTGTACTTCATCAATATGTTCAATTGCTTCTTGCTGTTCTTTTTCTCCCTTATGCAAGTGCTGAGATGTTGACGTCTGCCCTGGCTTGGGGGCAGGAGGCAGTCTCGGTTTCTTTGTTTGAGGCGGGAGTGAAGACTGGAGTTTGGGGGCCATGCTGCGAGGAAACTCCAGGAAACCGGGAGAGAGGCACATCTGGAAGCTCTGACTGCTCTATTTTTATTTTTATTTTTAAATTTAAGACTATTTCATTTAATGCAATGTCTTCTAGGACCATTTCTCATGGCAGAGTTATATTCCCTTGTGTACGTGTACACACATGTGTGGTGTACATGCTCTCTTCCTGTATTTCTATGTTTCTATTTGGAACCTTTCCTTTCTGCCTGAAAAACTCCTGCTTTTAAGCAGATACGATAGCAAGGAACTGTTTTTATTTGTCTGAAGATTACTTTGTATTTTTTTTGGAAGGATATTGTTCTTTGGTATAGACTTGGAGGTGGGAGTTATTTCCTCCTAGCAATTTAGAGATGCCCCTCTGTTGCCTCCTGGCTTCCATCGCTTCTGCTGAGACACAGAGAAGACAGCCCCGCCCTCGCCACTTTGGCTGTGTGTCTCTTTCCCCCTCAAGATGCTTTTATTTGTCTCTGTTTTCTGGGGTTTTCACTGTTGTGTGCTTGGGCGAGTTCCCTTTGCAATGACCCTGCTGGGGCTCACAGAGGCTCTTGGATCTGTGAATTGATGTCTTTAATCAGCTTTGGAAACATCTTGTCCTTCTGTATAATTCTCTTTTCTGCTCAAATTCCACATACCAGACCAAATGTGTTCAGTATACTTATGCCCTTTGTTTTTTTGTTTTTAATTCTTTCTCTACTTCTGTGTGGCTATTGTCTCTAGACCTGTCTCTGGTTTATTGACCCAGTTTTCTGCTGCTTTTTTTCTGCTGTGAATCCACTGACTAAAATCTTCTCTGAGCTACTGCCGTGCTTGGTGCTACATTTTCAGTTAAATTTATTTTTATTGATTACAGTCCTGTGGTGAAATTTTTAAATCATTTACTTATTTTCTTAATCTCTTCCTCCATTCCTGCATTAATCCACTATTTTACAGACTTTGTGTTGGTAACTTGAATCTGTATCATTTGTGATTCTTTTCCTTTGACTTTTTTTCCTTTGGCCTTTTTGTCTATGGTCCTGTCTCTTGGCTTGACTAGTACTTTTTGACTGAATGCTGGAAAAGGTGTATAAGCATTGTAGAGGCCCCAGCTGTCCTCCTCTAGAGAAGGCCCACCTTTCCCCCTGCCAGCTAGATCGCTCCAAACTATATTTTAGAATATGTGATAATCATGCAGTTTGAACTTGGTCAAGTACCTCTTATCACTCTTCTTTTTAGAGTAGCTGCAAGAATTCACAGTGTTGCAGATGCAATTTTGGTTAAAAGTCCCTTTGTTAGTGTTTATTGCCATTTTAGCTTCTGGGAGGCTCGGCTCCTGCCTCGCACAACACCTATCCAGAGAGAAGTCCTTTACATCGTGAGAGTTTTGAGCTATCTGAAAAGCATTAGACCACCTACTTCATCTTTTTAAAAAAATTTTATTTGATAGAGGTCACAAGTAGGCAGAAGGGCAGGCAGACAGAGAGGAAGGGAAGCAGGCTCCCCGCTGAGCAGAGAGCCTGACGCAGGGCTCCATCCCAGGACCCTGAGATCATAACCTGAGTCGAAGGCAGAGGCCCGACCCACTGAGCCACCCAGGCACCCCGACACCTACTTCATCTCAAATGGAGTGCCTCTTGTGGTCCTTGAGGAGGAGAAAGAATTTGGAAACTGTCACAGCTGAGGGTGGGGCGCCCTCTGCGTGTGTAGATGCCACGCATCTTCAAGCATTCTGTCAACCCTGGGTGTTGGATAGCCACCTGCTGGCTATGACTTAGAACTTTCCATTTCTTAGTGGTTTATAGTTTATGTGTGTCTGTATTAGGAAGGCGATTCTTTGTTTGAAGAAGAAACCCCAACTTTGGACGTGAGGGCAATCTGACTGCAAGTTCTGTCCCCACGTTGATCACTAGGGTTGACTGGGCTGATGTGGCTGGCTAGACAGTGTCTTCCTCGTCCCTCACTGCTCCACGTGGCGAGGACACCTGCCGCGACAGAGGAGGACTGTTTCTCTGTCAAGCGTTTACAGGTGGCTGTGCTCCCCTCCTAGGACCTCCAGACAAGCCCTCAAGGACCACTTGTAGGAGAAGGTAGGGTAGTCAAGCTTCCATGACTCCAGACACAGTCAGATAAGGCTCGTGTCTTTCTTAAAAACACAGGCACCCCTCACCCCAGCCTTCTGACTTTAGGAAAAGTACAATTATGAGTGTCTCTTTGAAGAATGTTGAAACACTGGCCTCTCTCTCTTCCTGGCAAGATTCCATATTAAAGGGAAAAAAATTAATTTCAAAGCAAATATATTTCTCAGTTCTTCTGTAGAAGAAGCAATTGTTTTTTTTTTTTTCTTTTAGAAAGAGAAGACTCCCCCCCCACCAATATCAAAATAATACCAAAAAGAAGTCATCTTTTACTCTCTTCTTCATGGACATTAAGGAGCCTCTGTAAGTAGTTTCAGATTCGTGATGCTTACAGATGCGTTTCAGTTAATATAAAAACACCCAATAGTAAGCTCATTCAGCAGTTCTTAAAGGAGCTTTGTTTGTATGCAAATCTTAGAACAGCCCAGTTGGTCTTGAAGGTTCAAGATGAACAACTTAAGATTCATTCTCCTCCTTCGGGAGAAGCAGAAGTGACTCTGTTGGTGTTGAAAGCGTAAACACAGCACATACACTTTCGCGCTGAGTTGAGATCTCTGCCGGAAACTGCCCTCCACCTCTCCCACCCCATGCCTTTCCCAGTCCTGGTGCATCCTTGGGGCTCGCTCTCTCAGGCTGGGAGCGCAGCTCCCTGGGTAGTGCTCAGCAGACCCTCAGAGCTTACCCAGAGTGGGGAGGCTTCACCTGTCCTTGGCACCGTGGATCGCTCAGAGACAACACCTGAGGCGGGGTTAGCACGCTTGGGGGCCCTGGCTACATGAGCTAGCTAGCTTCCATCTGCTTTCTGTTGGCAATTCCCACGAGGAGACAGCAGGTTATTGGAAGTTCACAGCCCTCCCTGCGCGTGCGGTAGGGTACTCCGCAGTAAAACCGGACCCTTCTGGAGCACTGGTGTTTCCCTGAGAGTGAGCACTTGTTAAGGCTTGTGGAGAGAGCATTCCGATATTCCTTCTTCCACCCAGGATCTGACTTCTTGACCTAAGCTGGTGGAGCCCATGTTGAAGACCCAGGCAAAAATCCATCGCACATGGTGGTCCAGGCCCACTGCTGGCACTCCCTGGGCACCCAGCTTGGGCTCCTCCGGCAAGACCTTCTGGTAACCGAGGCAGAGACGCAGGTATCTGGGCACCAAGCTCAGAAGGAAGGTCAGAAGCACAGGCTACGAGCCAAGAAATGTGGTGCTGCCCCAGGGTCAGGACAGGAGAGAGAGAGAGAGGACATCAGCATCATTATCCGGAGACACTTTCGCAGAGTGCACAATGCTGGTCCCTGTCCAGGCACTTCCATCCTTAACCAGCGAGCTGAACAGAGGCATCTGTGACCTGCAGGGAACAATAAAGGCAAGAAAAGGGACCAAGTCCCCTCTATCCAGTATATCCCGCTCCCCCCGCCTTGGGGCACAGACACACGCGGGGCTGATGCTCAATTTCTGCCATTGCTTGGACTTGAGTCTCTGCTCAGTTAAGAAGCTGCCCTGTGAGTCGGGTCATGGCGCCTCATGTCTGCGCTGGGAGCCCCCTGAACAGGACATCTGACCGCCCCTGAATCACTTGTTCTGTATCCACCCTCCCCACCGGCCACCTTCCAGTAAACGGTTCGTCGTCTTCGTCTTTGTACCTACTGTCCCCTCTGCCTCAGGCACAGGACCAGCCTGTGGCTCTCCTTGTGTCGCCTTCCCTGGGCTTCCCAGGCAGGCGCGGTGCCCCAGGCCTCCTCATCGCTGGACGCCTCGGGCCGGCCTTGGTGAGTGCCTGAGGTCGCTCTGCAGAGGTCCCGTCTTACCTTTTCCTTTGGTCCTCCCATTCCTCCATCCCCCAAACAGGCTTAGCAAAGGGCCAGGCCTACAGCAGGTGCTCAGTGGGAGCAGGAAGGCAAGGACGTCTTCCTCCGCGACCTGGACGATCTCCAGGGGCCCCCTTCCCCTGTCTGCAGGCCTCCGGGCATCTGCGGGGAGTGGGGAGCAGAGCATACACAGGGAAACACCCCCAGGTCCAGGATCCCCGGGAAGCGAGGGGTCAGCAGGTGAGAGAAGGGGGTGGGGTGCAAGGCCTGCTCGAAGCTGGACTATGGCTGCTGCCCCGCAGGGTTTACCCCCAGCCCAGCTGCGGGCCCGCCCGCCCCGCTGCACCCCTCCCCTCCTCGCTGAGCCTGCTGCTGTCCCAGGGCCCGAGCAGGACGCGGTGGGGGTGCGGGGCAGCCTGGGGCACCAGGCTTGGCCTCGGCGGGCGGACCGCAGCTGCAGCTTCGGCTCCCGGGGGCGGCCCCGCAGTCCCCCCCGCAGCGCCCTCCGGCCTGGGACGCGGGCTCGGGGCGCCCGACACCGGGTGAGGGGCCTCGGCCTCTCCCGCTGGAACAGCAGCACGTTCCTCGGCTGCGCGACCCCGCCTGCGAGACCCGCAGTCTGCACCCCGCGTGGCGGGGAGGGACAGGAGGGAGGGTTAGGCGCCGAGAGACCTCTTCGGGTGCCGCGCTCATAGGGTGCAGGGCCGGCCTGGGCCGGGGGCTGCGCGGGGGCTCCACCTGCCGGCCGCCGGCGGTACTGCACCGAGAGCCGCCGCCCGCGCCCGCGGAGCCTGGGGGGACCTGCCTGCGGGCCCTCAGGCTCCCCGAGGGGCTGGGGACCGTCCTCTCGCGGCAGCTCGGTCCTGCGTGGGCCTGGGTCACCATCGGGTCCACTCCGCCCCCTTTTATTTTAGAAGCAAAGTCAATGTACGAACAGATACAATCCCAGCAGATGGGTAGGGAACCGTGCACGGTCCCGAACCAGCTTTCCGCAAAGTAGAAACTAATAACGTCCAACAGCTGCAAACCGGGTATTTTTCTGCTCATCTTCAAAACGCATCAGTGTTCTATACCTTTTATTTATTTTTTAAAGATATTTATTTGAGAGAGAGAGAGAATGAGAGAGAGGAGCGAGCAGGAGAGGGAGAAGTCAGAGGGGGAAGCGGGCTCCCGGCCCAGCAAGGAGCCCGATGTGGGGCTGGTTCCCGGGACTCCAGATTCATGACCCGAGCTGAAGGCAGATGCTCAACCCACTGAGCTGCCCAGGCACCCCTGTTCTATATCTTTTAAATAAAAGATTCAAAATAGCTAATAAGAAATTTAATTTTAAAAAAATTTTATGAAGGGGCGCCTGAGGGGCTCAGTGGGTTAAAGCCTCTGCCTTCGGCTCAGGTCATGATCCCAGGGTCCTGGGATCCAGCCCCACATCGGGCTCTCTGCTCAGCGGGGAGCCTGCTTCCTCCTCTCTCTCTGCCTGCCTCTCTGCCTGCTTGTGATCTCTGTCAAATAAATAAGTAAAATCTTTAAAAAAAATAACTTTGTAGGGGCGCCTGGGTGGCTCAGTGGATTAAGCTGCTGCCTTCGGCTTGGGTCATGATCTCAGTGTCCTGGGATCGAGCCCTGCGTTGGGCTCTTTGCTCAGGGGGCAGCCTGCTTCTCTCTCTCTCTCTCTCTGTCTGACTCTGCCTACTTGTGACCTCTCTCTCTGTCAAATAAATAAATAAATAAATCTTTTAAAAAATAACTTTGTACAATTCAACTTTATTCATTGGGTCCACTTCCTTGGCGGCGGGCACACCAGTGGCTCTGAGTGCTGGCCATCTCTCTCGGGACAAAGAACCCTTGGTGCTAAGCCCAGGCCATCTTGTGTTTTTCATTTGCAGACTTCAGCCCTCCCGTCTAGACCCTCATGACAGGATCCTTTTCCTTCAACAAGTTTAATTTAGCATCTCTCTGAGATAAGCACTCTCGAGTACATGATTTCACGGAAACATTCAAGACACGGGTGAAGAAGGTACAATGCTCTCTGCGAGTAGGGGACAGTTCAGGAAGGCTGACGGTGGGCTCAAGGCACGTTTACTCTACGAAACCTATAGGCCTGCCATCCACCATCCACAAGGTCAAGGTCAAAAATCCAACCGGGGGTGCTTGAGTGGCTCAGTTGGTTAAGCGACTGCCTTCTGCTCAGGTCATGATCCCGGAGTCCTGAGGTCAAGTCCCACGTCAGGCTCCTAGCTCCGTGGGGAGTCTGCTTCTCCCTCTGACCTCCCCTCTCATGCTCTCTCACTCTGTCTCTCTCTCTCTCAAATAAATAAATAAAATCTTTTTAAAAAATCCAACCAACAAACCATTCCATGAAATACTTTCTTCTGTCTTGACAAATAGTTCGTCATATTATCAGAATAAAAAATGAGGAAAAAAATGTGAAATGAGAAAGTCAACAACGTAAGAGAGATGCTTGAATTTAACTATTATTATGACGACAGGATATGCTGATACCAGGGCTGGCAATGTTTGCATAAGTAACAAAATGAAGACATACGTAATAACTAAACTAGTAGAAATTCGTTTCATGTAATTCATTTCTGTTTTCAGAAGAGTTGCTAGAGCAGAATGCATCCACATAACAGGTGATAGCCACGCCAAATTAGACCACCTTTCTTGACCTGAGTCATTGTGGTTCTTGGATAATTTTTGTTGATTTCAATTTGGAGGCACTTTGCTTCGTTGATGCAGCCGTAACTGGGATGACCAACTCTTTAGGGAATACTTAGATTCCTAAATAAGCTGTGGATTTGATGTATTTACTTAATTTCACAGACACCACTAAATCCAGCATTCCTGGATATAAGGCCCAGGGATGGATAATTGGTGGGTTGTTTTTTGTTTTTTTTTTTATAATTTTTTTTTTAGATTTTATTTATTTATTTGACAGAGATCACAAGCAGGCAGAGAGGCAGGCAGAGAGAGAGGAGGAAGCAGGCTCCCTGCTGAGCAGAGAGCCCGATGCGGGGCTCGATCCCAGGACCACGTTGCTCACGCACAGATAGGGATACAAGCCTGGATTTGTAGGGTTCAGACTGGCGTCCTTCATTCCCATTTCTGGCTCCCGCGCGTGCTGTCCACACCAGCACCAGAATGACGGTCCTCAGCGGGTGTTGTCAGCATCATCCCGGCTTCTCTCAGGAGTGGTTCACGCTGGCTGTCCACTCCATCCGGCCAGTGTGGCTCTCACAACTTGTGATGACCCACTCCTGCCCTCCTCTTGACCTCCTGCCTGAAATGCTGACGTCGCGGATCTTCAGACACCCTTGCCCTCCAGTGCACTCAAAGCCCCATCAAAGGCACCTTCTCGGGGCGCCTGGGTGGCTCAGTGGGTTAAGCCTCTGCCTTCAGCTCAGGTCATGATCCCAGAGTCCTGGGATCGAGCCCCGCATCGGGCTCTCTGCTCAGTGGGGAGCCTGCTTCCTCCTCTCTCTCTGCCTGCCTCTCTGCCTACTTGTGATCTCTCTCTGTCAAATAAATAAATAAAATCTTTTTTAAAAAAAAAGGCACCTTCTCCAGAAAGGCTCCTCTGGCTTCACTCAACTCTTTCTGGCTCTTGCTAAACTCCTCACCCCCTTCCTACCACACACCGTGCGGGATCAACGGACACTGCCCTTGAACAGACGTGTTCCTGCAAGAACGTGTTCCTGCTCAGCTGCTAGAATGAATTTCCGTGCATCCAATCTCATTCTTCAAATTCCCTTTCTTACAAAACCAGAGAGGAACTCCTTTAGGCGTAAATGCTTTGGTGGGGCGAGACAGCGCTTCCACCACCAGGAAGAATTCATTTTTTGGTCATTTTTTTCTTAACCTATTCCTTTCGTTAGTCGTCATTGGTCTGCTCAGGTCTTCTATTTCTTTCTGATTCAGTTCTAGAGGATTGTGTGTTTGTGGGAATCTACCCATTTCTTCTAGGTTGTCACCATGCTGTACGTTAGATCACCATGACTTATTTATTTTCTAACTAATTTTCCCCTCCCCTGCCCTCCACTTCCCCTCCTCCTCCTTCTTTTTAAGAGTCCACATGTAAGTGAGCTCATACAGCGTTGGTCGCCTTCTGCCTGACTCATTTCACTTAGCATAACGCCCTCAAGGTCCATTCCTGCTCTTGTACATGGCAAGATCTCTTATTGTTTTACGGATGAATAATATTCCTTTGGATACCTACAGCACGTTTCCTTTATGTCCTCCTCCATCCGTGGACACTCGGGCTGTTTCTGTATCTTGGCTATTGTGCATAATGCGGGGGTAGGTACCTTTTTGAGTTAGCGTTTTCGTTTTCTTCTGATAACTACCCAGAATTACTGGATTATACGCTATCGCTATTTTTAATATTTTCTGAAGAAGCCCTATCCCGTTTCCGCAGTGGCTGCCCTGATTGGCGTTACCACCAACAGAGCACAAAGGTCCCTTTTCTCCACACCCTTGCCCCCACTTGTCATTTTTTGTCTTTTTGAAACAGCATGTCTAACAAGTGTGAGGTGATAGCTCACTGTGGTTATTTGTCCTCTGGTCTGTTTTGAGGCGAGCAGAAATTTTCTCTGCTCTGTTTCTATGTGAGCGTTTAAGGAGACGCACCGTCTAAGCCATCTCTACTGTCACCATCTTCCCGGATTCTCCGCGTGCTACCGTAAAAACCGAGGCGTGGGAAGATTAATCTGTGCATTGAATTTGGGTGATGGCTTTGGCAAGGAGCCAAGGTTGATTTCTGAGTAATGGGCACGTCATCAGACCGGCTCGTGTGAAAGATGAACTTGGCAGAGTTTCGGCCATAGAAGATACTGGAGTGGGGAAGACCGATTATGCCAGCACACCAGCAACGCAAAGAGGGCACGATACCGAGGGCAGGTGAATGGGAATGGCGTGACGCAGGTGGGCGTGAGAAACACAGCGCAGGCTGAACCAAGTAGCTTGGTGATGGGGGTGCAGGGAAGAAGGAGGGCTGGCGTCAGAGTCAACTGGAAATTCCCGGGATGAATGTCTGGGACAGGGCACTGTCGTCCAGCATCAGTGAGGAGGAGGGCGGGGATGGTGGCTGTGAGGGTGGTGGGGGGTGAAGGGAGGAGTGTGACCGAGTTTCCAAAAGCGAGTTTGGTGACTGAGGGGTACCTGGCTGGAGATGTGTGTGGACAGAGGGAACTCAAGGACAGACCCATGCCGGACACTCAGAGACTAAAACTGTGGCAGACGTGGGGCGGAGCTGTGCAAGGTGGGGTATGCGGTCTGCGGACCTACGCCTGTACAAATGCGCCTGCAGACGGAGAGGTCTCCGGCCTCGCCCCGTGTCACTCGTGCACACGTGTCACAGGGTAAACGGCATCTCCGAGGCTGGGCCTCCGGGGGGTTCTCGGGGGGCTCTTGTGCCTGTGGCTCACTGCTCTCCCCCCTTACGGCACTTGATAGCATCGAGAAGGTGAAGCTGGAATCCGTTTCTCCACCTGCCTTCAGTCTTTCCCAACCAGGGTGAAACCTGCTATGTGGACAGTCCTCCCTTTTCTGTGCTTTTTGTCCCTGCGCGCTTCGATGTTTTGCTTCCTTGACCTCTGCGGTGGGGGTGTCAGAACACAGCATGTGGGCAGGTGGCCAGGCTTCTGCAGTCCCCCTCCCGGGGCTGCTGAAGCACAGGGGGGCTCCGACCCAGGGCTCCAGGGACGTATCTACAGCAGGAACGACACAGCTCCAAGGGATGACACCAGCCCTGTTAAAACCAGACCCCACGTCTGATGGGCCAGCGTCACACGGGGGATTCACCAGTTTATGCAACAGAAGTCAGCAGCGCGGCTACTTTAGGATTAGTCTGGTTCAGTGTTTTCAAAGTTGCA